TGCCACCTTACTGCTCGCAAATGATCTATCACAACTATATTCTGCTCATAGTTTATGTATATAAAAATAAAACAATCAAGAATAATTGGACTAGAGAATAGAGAACAGTTCGGCAAATTTTTGACAATATGTCATTTTTTTTTCCTCAATTATAACGAAATACAGGACTATGTGAAGAAAATTCTATTTCCGTTAATATTACTACTAAAAGTTTGACTATAAATTTAAAGAAAATTGATTCGTCATTCATATATACAAAATTATTAAAAGAAATCTTTATCGAAATGAATGATGATGTTCAAATGGCAAAATAATTGTTTTTTGATTTTCCATGTGGTTTCTATGCCGATTATAGGGTATTATTATGAAGATGTCATTTTTTGTTTAAGATCTTCATTAAAAAAATTGTATGATTACATTCTGAGGCTGATCATACATCAAAAAGGATTTTTTATCGTGGTCAAAGCATGTTCAATGCTGATTTTGAAAAATTAAAGAAAAGTCATGGTGGTTTTATTTTATTCAATAATTTTTTACCAACAAGTATCAATGAATAAGTTTCTTATGCTTTTGCAGATAGTTCTCGAGAGGATTTAAGTTTAATAGGAATTCTATTTGAAATTGAAATTGATCCCATGATTTCATCAATTTCATCTGCTTCATTTGATCATATTAGTCATTATGCAAGTCGAGAAAGAATTTCTTCTTTCTATGCATATAATATTTCGAATTATTGATATGGATGAAATTAAAAATCGGTTATGGAAAATAAAATTAGTATCAACAAATGACAATGATGAAGAACTTAAATATTTAACTGATTATTTACGTTGAGAAGTTGATGGAAATTCTCATTATTATCTATGAGATTGGTTAATGATTATATTAAATGGATATGATAAAGCTAAGAAGATTTATACCAAACTACTCGAAATAACCCCTATCGATATTTGGGAAATATGCACTACATTTTATATACTAATACCGGTCAAAACAAAAAAAAAAGCATTCGAATTCTATGATAAAGAAGTTAGAAACTGTCAGAGAGTGTCTTCCACACAATCTGGTCTTCATACAACTTATAGTAATATTGCTTTAGTATACAAGTTCATGGGAAAATATGAAACTGCACTTGCGCAATGCATAACAGCTTACATAAAACCAAAGAAAACACTTCTTTAACAACAGATTCTGAATGGGCTATAACTCATAATAATCTTACATCGGTGTATCGTTTGATGGGCGACCTTTCAAATGCACTTTCTCATCTTCAAATTGCACTTGAAATACGAAAAAAAGTTCTTCAAGCAAATCATTCAATTGTTGATGTAAGTTTTAATAATGTGGGTATTATCTATCATTCGAAAGGAGACCATAAAACTGCACGAATAAACTATCAAGAGGCACTTGAAATTCATCGAAAATCTCTTTCAACTGTTCATCCAAGATCAGCTGAAACTTACAATAATATAGTTTTTGTTTATGATTTGATGAGTGATTATTCAAATGCAGTTTCATATTATCAAAAGACGCTTAAAATACAAAAAAAAAGCAGCCTATCATTAATTCATCCTGATCTGGCAACAACGAATAGAAACATGGGTTGTACTTATGCTGCTCTTGGAGATTATTTAACTATCCTTGAATTTTTTGAAAAAGGCTTTAATATTCGAAAAACCCCTCTTCCATCTGCTCATCCAGATTTCGCAAAAACTTATAAAAATATCGGTTCTTTATTTAATAAAAAAAAATGAATATCAAATTACTCTTGAATACTATCAAAAATCTCTCGATATTCAAGAAAAATCTCTTTCAATTGCATATCCAGATCTAGCAATGATCCATATATACATTGAAGGAATATATAATTCGATGAAAGACTATTTCAAAGCACTTTCCTACTATGAAAAAGCATTAGAAGTCGAACAAATTATTCTTTCGTTAAGTCATTGAAGACTAGTAACTACATATAGTAACGCTGGTGTGTTACGTCGATAAATCGGAGATTATAAAACAGCGATGTCTGATCCTTCAAAAGCATTTGAAATTCAAGAAAAAATTTTTCCATCAACACACATTGTACTAGATGATACTTGAGGTAAAATTGCTATGACATATAAATCAATGGAAAACTATTCAATTGTACTTGTGCCTTACCAAAAGGCATTGAATATTCGACAAAACTCTTCGTAATCCATCCATCTAGACGTAACAGTGAATTTTTATAATATAGCAAAAACATTTGGGCATCTTAATTAGTATCACAAAGCTGTAGAATATGCACAAAAAGTGATTGAGATGGCTTGTCTTCTATTTGGATGTGATCATTCCGAAGTGAAGGAAAATCAAGAATATCTTGATGGAATTCGTCAAAAACTATAATATGGCGAAAACCACGAGAAAAATTCTAACTTAAATGCATTATAGGTCGAAGATGTGGTTATAGTTACGTGTTATCCACATTCGGATAAAATTCAATTATCACATTTGACAGACTCAAATCAATGAGAACATCTCGATCTAGATTTAATTCAGTTTAGTAAATATTGGAAAAATAGTCACTTTCTTTTCTTTAGTGTAATATTGCACCATCCAGTAAAAAACTCTATTCGAGTTTTTTTTTCATATCTTTGGATTCAACGAATTGATTTCAAAATATGAGAAATTTTAAAAAACAAACAAACACTCAATTTTTTAGTTCACTGCTTCTTCTTCTATATGCATGTATTAAGAAGAGGAATGAACTTAATTTCGTTTTAGGGGATTTCTATTTGCACTGTTCTATGTGAACTATAACTGATTATTCACAATCTCAGTTGCATCAATCTCGTAGAATGGAATTTAAGATTTATTATGAATAGAATATTAATTGTACAATTAAAAGAGCAGACATTCATCATAGGAATAATAGAAATGCGTCAGGTTTCAGCTGGAAACGCTGTAAGACACTGAAAATCTGCGTATGCAGTGAAACCGAAAGGAAAGAAAATGACATTTTTGTGTCATGAAATGTTTCGATATTTTTTGACAGAAAAAGTTAGTACATCAAAAAAAGGGTGTGGGTGCAGCTTTGCTGTCACTATTGATTTTTCATTCGTTCACACCTGCATCCTATTTACATTGAGGAGACATCAGAAATTCTGTAGTGAAATTAATCAATTCAATGATGATTTATTATCGAACTAATTGAAAATGATCATAAACGTTATCCGATATGAAGATACACTTTCTAAACTGTAGGTGCCATAGAATAACCGAACGAGTAAAAAATATATTGCATTCATTTGTAATCAAGCAAAAAACATTTGAATCAAAAGCTGAAAAATTATATCATAATCTCAGAAACGTAAAAAATTACTTTGGAAGAAAATAAATTTTAAGTTTAAAAGTATTTTGTTGTCACAAAAAAAGATAGATAAATTTGAGAAACAACAAAAAAAACGAAAATCAGTACAATTCAGAATCATTATTTGAAAAACATGTATGCTTTTCAGTACTCAATATTCGATAAATTTTACAAGAAAAAGAAAAAACATGATCAGCCAATTGTACTCTTAAGGCGAATCGACTGGCCGATACTGACGTAATCTCTACTGTATTAATTTAAATGTCAGAGAGTCTATTAGAGTTTGAGAAGTAATGATAATACACTGACACATTTCATAGAAATTCAACATGCTATCAATATCACATATTTTATTATAGAATTTGAAGAAAAAAAATATAGATATTGCATGAATCCGGAAATTTTTTGGTTTAAGTAGAGCATATTGACGGTGGAATCGACTAACATGCAAAAAAAAACAGTATGGCATGAATAATACATTACCGCCTTCAATTGAAGACGCTTTAAGTGTAAAAGCTTTGCACATAAGTCATAAAACTTCTATACAAAAGTACGAAAAAGTCCTATGCTATTTTAAATAGAGTGAATGGCGTTGTGGGTTTGCCAAGAAATACCATTGTGTCACACCAAGATAAATAGAAATCATAGCAGATGAAGGACATCCTGATCATGTAAATGAAGTTATTCTAAATGATATAATCAGTATTACTTTTAAGTAATATACAATATTCTTTTATATAATTATTTCCTTTCTATTCTACTAGTAGTTATTCGTATATTTTTCCCGTTCTGTATTTTCTCATCTTCTTGCTAGCTTGACTTTCTGTAGTTTTCTCTCGCTTGGTGTCTTTCTAGTTTCTTTCTCTAAAACCAGAAACGTATAAGTTGACGTGAAGCTTGAATAACGTCAAAAACAGGAGTAAAAGAACTCAGTTAATTAGAATTTTATAGAAGTTTGTGTAGAAGTATTTTAGAATTGAGTTGAAGAAAACATACGAATAATCATTGTGGGCACTTATACAATTACTGTGGATAATATGTATTTGTAGCCATAAGAAGTTTAGAGTTGTTGACTTTTTTGTTTTAAATTGATTAAAAATAAATCATTATGATCTAGTGTCATTTACGACTCCCTCATATACACTCGTTAGGGGTAATTCGGATCAAAAATTAGAAAATCGATTTTGTTTTTATTCGCTCTCAATCATTGTACGTCGTAACAAGGTGATTTTTGGAGTGCTACTAGAACAAACTGTCCTCTTTCTAATGCTGAAAGAATTTTTTAAAAACCTTTTACCAGAAAAAAGTTATAGTTAAAATGGCAAAAGACTACAAGTGCTGATCCGAATTACCCCA